GAAATGAGACAAAACGCCTACACTCATCGTTCTGGGACAAGTTCAACATGCAACCTCTTGGGGACCATGACAGATGGAGAGTTATAGGTATGCTTCAGTCTGATACCTCGCAGCGTGACGTTGTTCGTGAAGTCAACGTCCACAGAAACACCACTTGGTACTTATGACGACGTTAGTGGCCACCCACCAATAGCTGCTTTTCAGTTTTCTGTTTCTTTCAAAAACATCTATTTTCGGAGACTAAACGTCTCTGAGTACAGTGTATTGAGAAGACCCGCAGCCCAGCAGGATCCTTCGTTTGACGACGTCAGCTGGCCTGAAGAGTGAACCAGTAGCCGCCCTGCTGCTCAGGTAATACTTCACACATCAGGATATAGATACTGTTGACAAGGCATTGAATTCAATGAGATTGTCCAACACTTTGACAGTGAATCTCCAGCGTTCACACACACACACACACACACACACACACACACACACACACACACACACACACACACACACACACACACACACACTAACACACACACACACACACACACACACACGCACACGCACACACACGCACACACTCACACACACACACACACGCACTTACGCACGCACGTGCGCACACACATATAAAATTCTTTAGCTACATGACCCCTCGCTATGTTTCGTCATTGTTTATGTTTCAGAAGTCCATCTATGGGGCGACCAAGAATATGATGCACAAACCTCACCTTGTAATGTTTTATAAATCCAAAGAAATCATTTTATTTGGTCCCGGTAACTTTCGGTCAATCTATCCCACAACCCTCAGCCCACTGAGCTGATATGCAATTTGCGTGATTTTTATATTACAAGTATGTAACAAAGGCGACCAGGTAAATGGTTCGTGATGCATTTCTTTAAGAATGTGTACATGGTAATATTTGTATATACACATGTCATGTACTCTATCATCATATTCTATCCGGTTTTACTTGCAGGACAAAGACCAACAGCTGTTGCACAAATGTATCACACTTCTATCAATGCTGTCAGTCTAACCATTCATGACATGCGAGTAATGAACTTTGTAAGGTATGCATCACGTTACAATATACAGGCAAACACTTTGTTATATGAAATGGGCCGCGTGACTACATCGAGTTTTCGGGGATTCAACACAAACGCAAAATAACAAGTATTGAATAAACAGGGACCAAGCTTTATCTTCGAGGAGAGCGTATGTTCGACACAGCCAAGCTGGACATAACAGTGGTTGTACGCTGGAGTGACTGTTCGTGTAAAGCGTTGTCCGCCACATTAAATGTACTAATGACGTGTGTAACAGCAGGAACACGGGATGTCCGCCATATGCCCAGCACGCTCACAGGTCCTAGTGTTTGTGATCAGACTCATGTACACCGATCCGAGAGTAACTTATAAACTATTGAGCCATGTGTTGTGTAGTATAGCACGTGTTTAGCGTCATAGTTTAGCCTTGTACTTTACCGTGGACTTGTCACGTCACGATCCATGGTTCGAAAATACTGATCTGTAAAATTATGACGCCTATTCTTTCTTCTAAGTCAGGAACAGTGATCCATTCCTCTAATGGAATGTGTTCCGGTGGATAATCGTATTCTCTGGTGTTTACAGTTTAGATATTTTTATTTTTTTTTACAGACTTTACCTCAGTAGTACAGTACAGGTAGCTTAGATACTGATTGTTCCATTGCCAATAGCCCACCCCTTATTTCGACCCGGGACATCGTACCTGTTGTTTTATAACGTCTACCGTAGAATATCCACATACGATTATGGTCTACTGTTACTGCGTCTCGTATTTATAAGAATGATACGTAACGATCAACAAAACAACATGGATTCACTGTGTATGTAGAGTGTATTTTTTAGAACAACAATTCCGTCGAGTGAGTGAGTGAGTTAACATTTAACGTTACATCGGCAATATTTCAGCCATATCGTGACGTGAACAATTAATTTTATACATAGTAAGTAATGGTAAACTGTAAAAACCTGTCAACAAAGGACGGTAAAATAACTAGATTATCACAGATTCGAATTTCAAACTAGTAATTAAATCTAAAACATTTCAACTATAGGGGACAGCACAAAATAAAAATTGGCTATATATCGCCAACAACTGAAGGTAGATCACCATACTAGGACAATTCCGTCGAAATACGTTCATCTAACTTATGCATAATCTACACTGGCATTGCATAGCGACTTGCATGGTCTGTGACTGGACTGGTTATGTGTCCCGTGTCCGCGTTACGCGTGATAGCAATCTCTGGCTTGATCTACAGGCCCATTGATTACAGGCCACAACGCGTAGAAACTGAAAAACTTTCGCATTCATCATGCAAGACTGGCTTCTACAGGACATATAACAATTAACATGTTTAAATGTGATTTTCTCACATTATACGGATGTTTCACTGGACTGTACCCCGGTCACCATTCCGCGAAGAACACATGTTTGGCATTCGCAAACAGTCTGACATAATGTATCAACACACGTCGATTAAAAAATATAACTCTTCGACAGGTGTCTACATGTTAAACGTTTATCAGCTCGTATATATTTCATATGAAAACACACAGGTGATGTTCTCTACGTTTAGTCCAAATTGCGAAACATAGCTACAAAGCACGACATGTTCCTGATGACAATATGAACGTAAGACAAGACACGTCAGTCAGCAGAGGTTCATTATATCTGATTAATTGGGTTGGACGAAATACCCCCACGAGGCCTACTCACAAGCCGAAACCACCTTATAATTTATTAAGGAATTTTATACTGAGCAGGTTGAAGAGGGACTTCATGAAGATTTATATGTATCCGTTTCCATGTTGTTTACAACTCCTCTCGAAAGTCACATCTAGATCTGCTGTGAGCTGTCAGAGCATTCAGCCCCACAAGCCAAATTTACCACTGCAGGTCAGGAGCTGGGAACATGAATTGTCCACATCAAAGGAACATGAAAGAGATTTATGAAACTGTAACTGGACAAAAAATATGGACTTGTAAAACGACGACGGTCTTCCTCGTAAATGTACAGACATTAACAAATACAGAGATAGGAAACTGTACCACTGGTGGTATTTTCCACAAACTAATAAATTAGCAGAACCAGATATTCTAATAATATCGCTTTCCCGATATGTTCCATATTTATGCTAATAATGAAATATGTCAATATACACAATGAATTCAAGTGTAGATCAATGATTACCATCTCTCTATATATGTATGGACATGGTCAAAATAGGTCACAAACACGTTAGCTAGTATGATAATTATCTGAACATTATGGCGGGTCAAGTAGACTCGACCAGGACTCGCGTTAGGAATTCGGGGATGACTTTATAACATGCGACTTGGCAATAAGACAGGTTAGGTATTTCCTAATGATAGGTTAGGTATTTTGTAAATGTAGGTATATCCTACAGGCAGGTACGACCGTTGTGGTAGCAGATATAAACGTGATGTTGATATTGCAGCTTGATAATTCCACACGTGCACGATCCATCGTACCTCCATGGTCGTGCTCACGATATCGATCACTGACTTGTCTGGTCCAGATTCGACTCCTGTCGTCTCTGGCTTCACACATTCCATCATCTGTAATGTGTGCATGTGGATTAGAGAATGATTTATTCACAAATGGCAATAGTATACGGTGCCAATCAGGGCTCTAGGGTGAGTGAGTGAGTGAGGTTGGTTTTACGCCACTTTTAGCAATATTCCAGCAATAGCACGGCGGGGGACACCGGAAATGGGCTTCACGTATTGTACCCATGTGGGGAATCGAACCGGGGTCTTCGGCGTGACGAGCGAACGCTTTAGCCTCTAGTCTCATCCCACCGCCCCAGGGCTCTTGGACCCTCTGAATGTGCACACGTGGAACTATGGAAATGTTTCGACAGCGCAGTCACACCGAACGTGGCTAATATATCTAATAAAGGAATTCGAGGAATTTAATCTTATGTTTATCATTAATATATTTGACGCTATGTCGAAGATTGCTGATAAACATGTTACGTTAATACGTTTTTTATACATGTGCTGTCATTTGTTAAAATGAATCGTTCGATTAAAAGCATACAACATAACGCTTGGTGTGTCTTCAGCTATTAAAACAGAATCTAATTTCATTTAATATCTTCATAAGGATCACTTTATGCCCAAGGGTAATGGGCAAAATAACTATTCCAGTACGTGGTCAATGGGGACAACTTATATAACTTATGTATCATAGGTTATATAACTTATGTATCATAGGTTGACATCAGCCGTGTTTTATGAAGACCTAAGGCTGTAACTTACTACTCAGTAAGGGAATATATATATGCTTAGTCAGCTCTGACCTGTATTGTGTGTCAACACGCTAGGTGGATAAGCCGAGGGTTCAGGGGGTCACGCTCTTGAAGTAGTGAAAGGTCAACCTGGATATGTGGACTGCAGAAGGATGTTCTTACTACACATATGCTCGACATACAAGTCGGAGGAATATACCTCATGATTACAGAAATACAACCAGGTATATCGTAGTGGAAATGGGTGCATAAAAAAGGATGTTCATGGTGTAAAATGAGTACCACTGGAATATGGTGAAAAGAAAACCCCGAGTGTTTGGAATAATACGATCAGTAATGACTAATGACCCCACCACGCTTTGTAATGCATGTTTTTATATGGCGTGGCCTGGTGCGATTAAATGTCCTAATGACAATTGATGGGTGTCTTGTCCACTCGTCTTAAATCGCCTTTCCTGTTACGAGAAAGGACGCCTTTGACGTCTCCCTAGTCGGACATGATGCTGGGAGTAGTAGTGGGGCAGGGTGCTTGGAGCTGACGGTGATGTTGTAGCCGGACATGATGCTTGGGTAGTAGTAGTGGGGCAGGGTGCTTGGAGCTGACGGTGATGTTGTAGCCGGACATGATGCTTGGAGTAGTAGTGGGGCAGGGTGCTGGGAGTTGACGGAGACGTAGTCGGGCATCAAGCTGGGAGTTGACGGTGATGTAGTGGGGCAGGGTGCTGGGAGTTGACGGAGACGTAGTCGGGCATCATGCTGGGAGTTGACGGTGATGTAGTGGGGCAGGGTGCTGGGAGTTGACGGTTATGTAGTCGGGCAGGCTGCTGGGAGTTGACGGAGACGTAGTCGGGCAGGGTGCTGGGAGTTGACGGAGACGTAGTAGGGTAGGGTGCTGGGAGTTGACGGAGACGTAGTCGGGCAGGGTGCTGGGAGTTGACGGTGATGTAGTCGGGCAGGGTGCTGGGAGTTGACGGAGACGTAGTCGGGCAGACTGCTGGGAGTTGACGGAGACGTAGTGGGGCAGGGTGCTGGGAGTTGACGGTGACGTAGTGGGGCAGGGTGCTGGGAGTTGACGGAGATGTAGTGGGGCAGGGTGCTGGGAGTTGACCATGATGTAGCCGGGCAGGTGCTGGGAGTTTACGGTGATATAGTCGGGCAGGGTGCTGGGAGCTGACGGAGGCGTAGTCGGGCAGGGTGCTGGGAGTTGACGGAGACGTAGTCTGGCATCATGTTGGGAGTTGACGGAGACATAGTGGGGCAGGGTGCTGGGAGTTGACGGAGACGTAGTGGGGCAGGGTGCTGGGAGTTGACGGAGACGTAGTCGGGCAGGGTGCTGGGAGTTGACGGAGACGTAGTCGGGCAGGGTGCTGGGAGTTGACGGAGACGTAGTCGGGCATCATGCTGGGGCTTTACTTAGACGTAGTCTGGCAGGGTGCAGGGAGTTGACGGAGACGTAGGGGGCATGATGCTGGGAGTTGACGGCGATGTAGTGGGGCAGGGTGCTGGGAGATGACGGAGACATAGTCGGGCAGGTGCTGGTAGTTAATTGACGGAGATGTAGTCGGGCATCAAGCTGGGAGTTGACGGAGACGTTGTCAGGCAAGGTGCTGGGAGTTGACAGGTAGTGCTGGGAGCTGGGAGTTGACGATGATGTAGTGGGGCAGCGTGCTGGGAGTTTACGGAGACGTAGTCGGGCAGGGTGCTGGGAGTTGACGGAGACGTAGTCGGGCATCAAGCTGGGAGTTGACGGAGACTTGAATGGGCAGGGTGCTGGGAGTTGACGAAGATGTAGTCGGGCAGGGTGCTGGGAGTTGACGATTATGTAGTCGGGCAGGGTGCTGGGAGTTGACGGAGGCGTAGTCGGGCAGGTGCTGGGAGTTGACGGCGACGTAGTGGGGCAGGGTGCTGGGAGTTGACGATGATGTAGTCGGGCAGCGTGCTGGGAGTTGACGGAGACGTAGTGGGGCAGGGTGCTGGGAGTTGACGGTGACGTAGACGGGCATCAAGCTGGGAGTTGACGGAGACGTGAAGGGGCAGGGTGCTGGGAGTTGACGAAGATGTAGTGGGGCAGGGTGCTGGGAGTTGACGATTATGTAGTCGGGCAGGGTGCTGGGAGTTGACGGAGACGTAGTCGGGCATCATGCAGGGAGTTGACGGATACGTGAAGGGGCAGGGTATCGTCGGGCAGGATGCGTTTGATATGACGAGAAGGTATATACATGTATATACATGTTACTATAAATTTATACCACGTTGTGGACAACCGGATAACTGACACAATACATACAACATTAAGGACGTGTCATTGTTATGAAGGGAAATAATGCTCCCTGAAGGTTTTACTTGAACCCCAAACCTGTTAAATGACTCGAAGTGCTATACTCATACATCATGCACATATTACGCATTATTAACACAAACTGCCCATACTCGCATGTTCTGTGCTAATAAACCGTAGTGTCATACTAATTGTGACTATAGACTTGATTGACATTACAATACATAAGTACAATCAACATATTGTCAAGACAAGACTCATATTACCAACACTGTACTAATGTGACTATATAGATTGACATTACCAGTACAATCAACATATTGTCGAAGACAAGACTCATATTGCCAACACTGTACTAATGTGACTATAGATTGACATTACCAGTACAATCAACATATTGTCAAGACAAGACTCATATTACCAGCACTGTACTAATGTGACTATATAGATTGACATTACCAGTACAATCAACATATTGTCAAGACAAGACTCATATTACCAACACTGTACTAATGTGACTATATAGATTGACATTACCAGTACAATCAACATATTGTCAAGACAAGACTCATATTGTCAAGACCATATTACCAACTTGCACTGTACTAATGTGACTATAGATTGACATTACCAGTACAATCAACATATTGTCAAGACAAGACTCATATTGCCAGCACTGTACTAATGTGACTATATATAGATTGACAGTACAATTCAAGACAAGACCATTACTGACATTACCAGTAAATAACTAATGTCAAAGACAAACTATATAATGGATTGACATATCAACATATATAGATTGACATTACCAGTACAATCATATTGTCAAGACAAGAGTCATATTACCAACACTGTACTAATGTGACTATAGATTGGACATTACCAGTACAATCAACCAGTACAATAATCAGTCAACATATTGTCAAGACAAGACTCAAGTACTAATGTGACTCATATTGTCAAGGAAATACTCATGTTATCATAGTACTCGAATCGCTCATAGTGTCCCGAAAACAATACCATACAACAAAGTACAAAACACACATTGTCAAAAAAGACACATACTGTCAACACACATATATTAGTAGCACAATTCACACTTTATACAAGACGAAAACCACACACTGTGTCACGTTTCATGCTCTTTTATGAAAGTTAGTTAGGATTTTGGTAGGGGTGGATGTCAGCCTTAATGTGGGAACAGATCTCCCAAACACACCATTTCATTTATGTGCAAAACATGCATTTGGTTCTAAATCTGCTATATAAAGTCTTGTTAAGTTGAATTTAACACAGTTGAACTTCATACTGTCAACGGAGAGCTAAGGAGAAGGCCTTTTTGTGAGTACGTTTCCGGTTTCTTTAACAAAGTTAAATAAGTAGATTTATCACTTGGTGTTGAAGATTAAGAAAATATTTGTCTTTTAACATTGTTACTCGCAGACACTTTGGGTAGCAATTTGGGGGTAATTATTTTAAGAATGTTGTTGTGTTAGATGTGTTGACACGACATGTTATGGTTGTCACCACGTGGCTAGGGAGTAGGTATTTTATTATTTCAGACTTGAGGGGAATTGCTCCCACTTCTGGTTTCGTATTCAAGAGTTCTTCAAGACATAAGGCAGTACTACACTATTCTGGATGACAACAACAAACAGAACTGTTACACATCGTATACAGGATTACATCCAGGGACTATTTTGTTGTGAACTTCTGCGTACTTTTGACAATTGTTTGCCTCGCCATCTGGATGTGATTGGATTCATATTTGAGCTGATTAGTACAAGATACACTGATTACCTATATTATCTTGTGGGGAATGTCACAGTTTCATGCTACTGTTTGTGAAGTGAGGCTGTATTTAGCCTAAACAGGTTTTATTTTCCATTTGTAGTAATATACTGAACATCATTGAAAACGCACCACTTATAAAAGTTCAGATTATTAAAAGCACGTGTAAGAAATTGATATTTTTTGAGTGGATAATAACAGATGGACGACTGATAAAAACAACAACACAGAAAAGACGCTCATTGAAATGTTCCACAGTCAGAAAGGATCAAACACACGTGGGGTCAAATCGAAAAGTCAACATCGCGTGTGACCGCCATTTGCATTGACACATGCAGTTCAACGTCTCCTTATTGAGTTAATAAGCGTCCGAATAGAGTCTTGAGGATATCATTCCACTTCTGCAGTAGTGCAGCCTCAAGTTCCCGGATGTTTCGCATCTTTTGTCGCCGCTAAAGACTTTGACCAATTTCGTCCCACAAGTGCTCCATGGGGGATACATATGGCGACTGTGCTGGCCAATGAATAACCTGGATGTGTTGCTGGGCCAGATACTGCATGGAAGGTGTTGTTGTGTGTGCCCGTGCGTTGTTCTGTTGAAAAGTATGGACATCTTGGTGGTGATTGACGACAGATACATTTTGATTCTGAAGAATCTGCTCACGGTAATAAAGGGCATTAACTCTCCCTTGACAGACATGAAGGCAGACCTGTGATTGTAATCTATTCCACCCCAGACCATGACACTCCCACCACCTGAACCACACACTCATCAGCATAACGTTCACCAGGTCTACGCCAAACACGTAATCGGCCGTCAGCATTACGTAGATGAAGACGTGACTCGTCAGTGACTACCACACCATGCCATTGTTGTAACCTTTACTGAAAATGCCTGCTAGCCCATTGTATACGCTCATTGCGGTGTCTGTCAGTTAGAATTGGTCCAACGTAAGGACGTCGAGCATGGAACCCTGTAGCGTGTAGACATGGCGACGCATGGAGTCAGCGCTGATGACCCCCGCGTCAACCTTGAGCTAGTGCAGCAGTCCTGGCAGTCGGCAGTGTTCAATCACTGATATGGACAAGGTCAATATGGCGATCCTGATGGAGCGTCGTAACACGTTGTTGCCAAGGTCATTGTAGGTCACGGGTGCTGCCTGTCTACTGATGTCGTCTATGAAGCCTAACGATGGTGGAGTGGCCAAGTCCAAGTTGTCGAGCAATATCCCTGCTGCTGGTGCCAACCTGAATCATGCCTAGTGCACGTTCTCTTTCGTGAGGTGTTAACCTCGGCATCTCTGTCCTCGTTTCACAATCGTTAGCGAAGCAATGAGAATCGGTTCTCATACACCTGCTATTAATGTCACAGTCGAAATTCGAGTTTTTTTCATGGCGTGGCTGCATGTTGATGCATTTTGGAAATAAGAGTCATACTGTGGACAGGAATTTGTTTCTAAAGCATTTTTTTCAACTGGACATGCCCTTCGACTTCATGTTAGTTATATCCATTGATCATTGTCATGCTGAAATCCATCTTGATGAAAATATGGACAATTTTAGACTGGTGCGTTTTCAATGATGTTCAGTAATATGTGTTGAATATCCATCAGGTCTACTTTTGATTTGTGACAAACTATTCATATTGCCAACACTATATTCATATTGTCAACTCAATACGGTTGAGGTCAAGAATCGAGTCTTATTAAATGTTAGCACAATACACGTCTCGTGAACATTCAGAAAAAGTGTTCAGCAAAGTTCACTTGTCATTCAACACAATACACATGTACTATTTAGCGTTTTAACATATTATTGATACCGAAGGCCCCGAATCAATACTTGTTTTTTGTGACTGAGGAACTTGTATCGTTTTAACAGTATCATCAAAATATATATATTGTGACTGCGACCTTCCTTTTCTGCATTGCTAAGACCCCGGCAGTGACATTGAACACCTTGACACGAGTTTTTGACGTTGCAAGCCCCATGTGGCTAAGTGTGCCTGTTTCGTGGTCTGTTTGCTAACGAAATAACGACGCCTTCGGTTTTATCAGTACAAGTTTGTGTACCCAAACAGTGCAATACAGAGAAATATTTAAGCAATGACATAAGTGTTAACATAGACTAGCAACTGTGGCCCGCAGCCTTCCATGTTGCATCTACTCAAGGCACAGCGTCACTCTACAGTCACATGCTGGCTGACATTGGCGGTTTCCTACTTCTTCCTTTCACCGTTCAGATGCACTGTGCACTAGCTGTAGATTCAGGTCAACCTGACCCTCCGCTGACCTCAAGGACATGCCGGCCACGCCTAGACAGCTGACT